TCTGCTGCTGCTGCGGCTGTCACAGAGAAAGAAGGCACGACAACTGGGAGATGATATGTAGTTTTTCCATTGCACTGAACTTGTTTGGAAGAATAAGGAGGTAGAACAATGAAATAATCCAAATATTATGAGGAAAGAGGGAGAAGTTTATATTACTGTGGTTTGTGTGATAACAGAAACGTTACCTCTGGTACATTTTGTTTATAAATGGTGCTGTAAAGCAGATAAGTGCTCAAATGCTTAGCTAAAAATACTTACGGGACTACCTGTCCAGCACCTTGTTTTACAGAACACTGTAGTCATCAGATTCTGATTGCTTCACCCTCAGTTTACAAGATCATAAGTCCATATGGTAGGAAAAGTGTGTTTTCTTTTACCTTAACTGTGGTTTTAATGTAATTTTCGCAGCATAGAGAAACTAATTTTAGCTGATTGCAGTAACCCCAGTAAGAGAGTTTACTGTTTTCCAGCACACTTAGGAAGGCATTTTATTCAGTGTTATGGTTCTGTAAAAATTTTATTTTCTGCGATTTTATTTTGGAATTCTGTGTCTATCTCTGTTTTAAAAGCTACAAACAGTAAATACACAGAGAATATGTACACATATCCAGGGTTGGCAGGGAGGTGTCTGTGCCCTCATTGGGTGACCAGGGATCAGTGGTTGTCACAGAGGACTGCTTGGAAAAGGCAGTGGGTTGCTGGGAGCAGGTCATGTCTGTGTACTCTCCTGAAACAGCGAGCATCTTTCTAGCCTGAGAAATGGATGTTTCTCCCCAGTTGATCGGTTCGTTCCCAGGCACCACTCAGATCCCAGGTGATGAGGTCTGTAACAATGACTGAAGGAGCAGGATTTCCATGGGGCCGACTGCCTTTCTGTGTAAAAAGTCAGGCTCTTCAGTCATATCCTTTGAATACATAACACCACTGTAAAATGGACTGTGAGACGTTTTGTCTTAACGTTCTATGTTTTCTTGATCTGCAACGGCAAAATCTTGTGAAATATCTTTTGAAATGGAACAACAGTTGTAAATAGTCTTCTTTTCTCTGTGCTTGTTAAAATAGTGGATTCAAATATATTTTTCTTGTTAAGGGTAAGCCTAATAATAGTAGTTTTCTATTGGACTAAACTTGTTTGGAAGGACAATGAAATTATTCAAATATTATGAGAAGAAATGTTTGAAGTTCTGTGCCTATCTCTGTTTAAAAAGTAACAAACAACACACACACACATGTCCTACAGCACTCTAGAAAAGAAGGTGTTAATATGTGAGTAGTATGAAAAAGTTCATAGTATTTTATGAACTTATCAAATTAAGAAACATAAAACTTTCCCGTGTCCTTTTATAATTCAGTTATTTTCTATTAATTCTTTTTAAATTATTCTTCTTGTAAAAGTTTTAAGCCAGGCTTGGTGGCACATGCCTGTAATTCTGTCATTTGGGAGATTGAGGCAGGAGGACTGAGGTCTGTAAGTTTGAGGCCAGTCTGAGCTACGCAGGGAGACCCTGCCTCAAAAGCCTTTCCTCAGCAAAGACATTTTAGTTAGAATATGTGACTGATAAATTAATGATTTTAGACTTTCTTTATATAGGCTTCAGTTTTTAAAAGGACAAGTTTTAAGTAGGTCAAACTTTGATAAACTTTCTAAGGCAGAGCATCATATATTTTCTGTGAGATTGATAGCTACTATTTGGTTTGTGTTTATTGAGGTTCTCAAACATACAACTTGTCTTCACTTGTTCTATTGAAGAAACATTGTTAATTCCCAGGCTTAGAAATCATAAGTGATAAAGTGTATCATAGATTTATAAAAGCAGAATTCATTTGATACAGTCATCTAGTTGGGAGACATAAACTCTTTTGAAGTAAGATTTTTAAAAAATAGTACTACACAGAAACCCCTTATATTATCATTTGTCACAAGAAGTAACTCAAATCATTAGCATTTCAGACAACATTCTGCAGCTCATGTTTTAGGGTAGTGACAGAGTGGCCAGAATGAGTTCTGTGGTAATTGCTGTATCTTAGATGATTGTTCGATACTGCCTGGCATGTCGTATACTAGCATGTCACATATGGAAGTCACTCCCCCATTTCTTATTCCTTGCATAGTCATAGCGCTCAGTGCTTATCAAATGTAGCATTTCTTCCGACCCAGCCTGAACTTGCCCTCATTTCTCTCAAAGTAGCATTCTGAGCTGCCAGCTAGTAAGTAGGATACTCAGGGATCTAACTGGTTTATCTGTGGAGTCAGTAGAATCTTTAAATGTAAAAAGTAATTTTTATTTATTTTTGTCTTTTTGAGACACTATGAGGTTCAAGCTGGTGTTGAGCTCACTTGGTAGCTCAGGCTGGTCTCAAACTTGCAACGATCCTCTTGCCTCAGCCTCCCAAATGCTGGGATTATAGGCATGTGCCATCAGGCCCAGCTTTAAAAGTATTTTTAAGATCAACTTACATTATATAAATCAAGTGGAATATAGTTTCTTTCACTCTAGCAGTGGCTTCAAGTCTTTTACAGTATAATGATTGCTTTTTAATTTAAAAAATCTCCACAGTTTCCTACATGACCATTGAAATCAGTACTAATTTCGACTTTATTAATCACATCATGTACCTTTATTTGGGAAAATAAGGACACAGGTGTGTGAGAAATTTACATACTTATAGATGCAGGAACCCTTTCAATATTTTTAGTCGCCTCTTCTACCTCATCCCAGGTGCAGGATTGTAAACCATTATTCTGTATCTTGCAGTTTGTTTTCTTTGGTTTCAGTTAAAATTCAAGGTATTCTACTGAATGCAGAATTGGGTTTTATCTTCAGCAAATTTGTGAGTATTTTCATACTATGTGCTGTGGAGTCCCAGACGGCCAGCAGTTGCTTCAAGCCCCAGCCTTAGGCTGCCTGTCTGCCTCAAACTCACATGTTTTGGAATTCATAAGATTTCTCTTGTGTATGGAATTTCAAGCAAATAAGCAAGCAAGCATGCAAGACCCCTCCCCCACAATAAAACCGAAATAGGCAAGCAAAACAAAACTACTGAGAAGCCTGTGTTGTGTTACACCTGACTACACTGCCTGGCTCAGAGGCTGAAGGCAGGCTGAGGACTCTGTCAACCAGCCGGCTGCTGTTTGTCCCTCTACCTGCTTCTGTTCTGGAGGCTCAAGGAGGATATAAACTGACATTGTCTCTACCTGTGAGTGTAGTACATATTTGTATGGAAAGAAAAATTGTTTTGCAGCTCAAGTTTGTTTCTACCTTTGTATTATAAGTGCTTGTTTTGAGTGTGATCTTCTCTCACTATTTAGGCAGATAGAAGAATGGAAAAACTTTTTATTATTATCATTACTTTAGATTTTATTTTCTTTTAAAACAGTCAAGAGTTCATACCATGGTCAGGCAACAGGTTTTTCTTTCACGCCTGGTGCTCTGTGTGCCTTCCCTGCTATGTTTGTGCATGGTGTGCCTTGTCTTTGTTTTAGATATTGTCCAAGCAGAAAATCTTCCCTGGATTTTGCCATCTATCCAAGGATAGCTTCATGGCTCATTTCTGAGCAGAGGTGACCTTTTGTTGCCATTGTTAAATCAACATGCCACCAAGATGTCAGCCATCTTTGACAAAGATGCCAAACACATTCACGGGAAGAAAGGTAACCTCTTTAATAAATGGTGCTGGAAGGACTGGCTCTTCACATTGCAAAGATTAAAAGTGGACCCATGTCTTTCACCATGCACTAAACTAAATTTGAAATGAATCAAAGATCTGAATATTAAAAACAAAAATATTAAATCTGTTGAAAGATAGAATAGGTAGAACTCCTGAAGACATTGGTATAGGCAAAGACTTTATGAAAAAAAAAAACCCTGATTGCACAGAAGCTATCACAAAGAAGCAACAACTGGGATCTCATCTTATTCAAAAGCTTTTGCACAGCAAGAGAAACCACCGGGAGTGAAGAGACAACCTACAATGTGGGAAAAAATGTTTTCCAGCTGTTCCTCAGACAAGGATTACTACTGAGAACATATAAAGAACTAAAAAAAAAAAAAAAAAAAAAAAAAAAAAAAAAAATCAGTCCTCCCAGATTTAAAGATCTAATCCAAAAATGGCATCTGCGATGAATACACACTTCTCAGATGAAGAAGCACAAACAGCAAATATATATGAAAAAAATGTTCAGCATCACTGGTTATTCAAAGATGCAATGATGAGAGTCCATCTCACCCTGGAAAGGCTATTTTCAAGAAATCAAGCAATAACGGGACTGTGGGGGAAAAAGAAATGTGGTGACCACTACACTACGGAAACCACCCTGAGGGGGAAAAAAAAACCCTTCTCCACTGTTGGCAAGAGTGTAGACTGTTGCCACCGCTATGGAAATCAGTGTGGAGATTCCTCAGAAAACTAGGGTTGGAGGTCCCATTTTACCTAGCTAGTCCCCTTCTGAGTGTCTTCCCAGAAGAATTAAAAACATCATACCACAGTGATACATGTGCACCCGTGTTTATAGAATCACAATTTGCAATAGCTAGTGTAATGGTTTGTGTCTGGATGTCACTCTAAAGCCTCATGCAACCATGAGGGCAGGCTTCTAGAATTTATGGTTACTTCATGGTCCAGTACTGGGATTATGAATAGGACAATAAAATGGATAGAAATAGTCGTCTCTGCATACTCTTCCCTTTTTCCTCTTGCTGCTTTCACTATCTTCTAACTGCCATAAACTGTTGCCCTCTGCCATGTGCCACTCTGCCTTGGAGCTGGACAAATATGAACTGAAACCTCCACAAACTGTGAGCCCAGTAAACCTTTTCCTCCTTTATTTTTGGTGTTGGGTATTTTGTACCAGCAACAAGAAAAAATTAACTAAGACAGCTAGATCCTGGAAACAACCCAAATGCTCATCAACCAAGAAATGGATAAAAAAGATGTTGCCTTTTTATAAAATGGAGTATTATTCAGCCATTAACAATGATTAACTGAAGACTTTTTTTTAGGTAAATAGATGCAACTCGGGGACTATACTCAGAAGTGAAATAAATCAGATGCACATGTGTAAACATCATGTTGTTTCCCTCATGTGAGAAGCTAAGTGAGTAAATAAGATCCAAAATGTACAATATTGTAAAATGGGGGGGGGGACTTTAAAAGGAAAGAGAAACTCAGATGGAAGAATGGAGAAAAGAAGGAAATGATAATACTTCTAATTTCTCTTAATTCATTGAAAGAAAATATTTGTGCTAATATAGTTTGGATAATTGAATGCCTGTAACTTGTACTCTGAGTAATTTAAAAATAAAAATACCCAAGGATTAACCACTGTTACACTCCTATTATTTTGTTTTATCTTTTTTCTCTTTTTAAAAAAAAGGTATCAGCTGTGATACCTGATGTTCTTTGGGCCACCTTTTTCACCTGGGATGTTAGCACAAAGCCAGTGTCCCTGGGAAGATCAAGATCATTTACCTTGGAAGCCTCAGGCTATAAGTGACCCAGGATAACAGCAGAGGGCATCTTGTGACAGTTTGCTGAGAAAACTCTGTTCCTGGTGGAGGAAGCTCTTCCTCTCCATCCATTGATTTAGCATGTTTGGATTGGCATATTGTGGTAAATGCTCTCCCTTCAGAGTCTGTCAAGATGGCAGGCCCAGGCAGTGGGGCTGCTATCACAGGCTTCTCTCTTCCTCAGGAAAGTCCTCTGCCTTGTGGAGATGCTTTTCTGTTAACTGTGGCAAAGCATGAATTGGCCAGTTCAGGATATTGAATGGGAATGTATTCACGTAATACCTGGTCTTTAGTGATTGGCTTTTTCATTTAGTACAGTGTTTTCAAAGATCTGTCCATGACATGACATGTATCAGTACTCCATTCTTTTTTATTATTAAATAATACTCTATTCGATGAATCTTTTGTATTGTGTTTATTCATGGGCATTTGGTTTGTTTCTACTCTGGCTCTTATGAATTATGCTGCTGTCAATATTTATGTATGTGTTTGTGAACCTATGTTTTCAGTTCTACTGGGTAAATACCTGAGTATGAAATAGCTGGGTTGTATGGAAACTCTATGTTTAACATTTTAAGGAACTGCCAAATTGCTTTCTAAAGTTTGCTGAACCGTTTTATATTCCCCACTAGCAATGAATGAAAGTTCCAATTTCTCTGCATCTCTGATGTTTCCTAACCACTGTATTTTTTTCTGTTTATAAAAATGTTTCCTCTTTTCTTGGTGGATAAGGGAGCAGGGAGCTGAATGATAATTTTGGAGGAAATGACACAAATGAAAATCAAATAAATTATTTTCCGATTGGCCCAGTTGTAGCTCTGGAAGCCGTTCAGCCTACAAACCTTCCTGTTTGACTGGATATGACATTACAGGAATTTTGCTTTCCTGCTTTTTCCTCCCTGGAGAGAAAAAAGAAATATGTCTTTTCCTCAGCTAGACACGGAGGATTCAAACAAACACGAAGGACCCCAGAGTTTTTAACAATTCCACGGAACATGGACTTGGTTTATGCCCAGAATCGATTTTCTAAAATCACTCTCGTGGTGCTTCCTTTTCTTGCCTATTCTCCACTGGAAGCGTAACCTCAGAGCCGAATCAAGGTCTGTTCCTTTGGTGTTTGGAAAAGAAATGCTTGCTGGATGCTGGTCAGCTGGCTGGAGCTGTTGGCGGGCAGCTGCAGAGCTGGCCTTTGCTGACGCAGCCTCAGCTTGCTCAGGAAGAACCTGCGTTGGCTTGGGAGCTCGTGTTTGCCAAGAGCTAGGATAGCAAGGCCCTTTGTCATCCACCACAGTAGTGAACAGGCGAGTTGGGAGGTCCTAGAAATACCTGGCTGCACCAGCCAGGGGCAACACTCCCGCTCCTTTGCCGCCTGTACTGGATGTAGGGAGCAGCTTAGAGTGGGGTTGGAGTAGACCTGGGGAAGGTCAACAGGAAATACTGTTGCTCCGTCCTCTTCCATTGTGCAGGAGGGATGGAACCCCAGGCTTTCTGCATACTGGGTAAGCACTCTACCACTGAGCATCCCTAACCCTGTTTAATTTTTTTTTATGTTGAGACAGAGTCTTGGTAAGTTGCCCAGGCTAGTATGGAACTTGCAATCCTCCCATCTTGGCCTCCTGAGCAGCTGGGATTGCTGGTGTGTGCTGCCATACTCAGATGAAATGTTCTTTCTGATGTATAGTTGTGATAGCTCCTACTGTCTTCTGACCAGCTGATTACTTTTGGTCATATATTGGCGGTAGGTCATGTCCCCACCTTCCCCCGGCCAAACATTCTGCATGATGAGTTTGTTGGCAGGGTGGATCCACCGCCCCAGTTCCCTTTCATGCATCCTTTCACACCTAAAGTGGGCCTACTGCTCCCTTTGTGGGTGAGGTTTGTTGCATAGGTGTGACCAGGAAGGTGAGTGTTGCCCCCACACCCAAGCGTACTGTTGCCTCAATCCCCGCCCAGTCATTGCTGCCCTGACTTCCTGACTCCCTTTTCAGAATCCAGCTCACACCAGGAGAGGATCCTGCATCCCTGGGTCCTGCCAATAGAAGCATTCTGTGTTGTCTGCTGGTTCCATTAAATGAGCTTCAGTGCATACATGATAGTTTTGTACAACTTTGTGTTAATTATACCTATGTGAACCGCCTACCCCTTTTATTAAGGTTATTATTTTACTAAGTTCCAAAAAAAGATTTTAATGCACTAATTTTAAGGGTGAATTTCACAGCTCCATAAAGTATCAGAAGACTATTAGAGTAACAGTTACTGTGTTTCCAGTCATAAGCCCACTGTGTGGTTTCTGTGCTAATTAATGCATTTGATTTAATGACTTCAGTTGGCACTGTAAGGAAATAGATTTTAAATATATACAATGTACATTTTTAGTGGGTGTGTGTGTGGCCCAGTCATATACCAGATCTGACTGAAGCTTAATAATACCTTCCTCAACTCCTCAAAATAGGAGGAGTTAGTAGTCTTTGGACATTTTCAACTTTAATGTACTTCTGATTTTTACCAGTGTGGTTTGCAATAAGAGTTACTAAGTCTGAAATTTAAAGAGTGAACTTTCAGGTATGGTAACCCCCAGCTATATGTGGTTATTTAAATTGTAATTAATTAAGATTAAATAAAAAACCCAGTTCCTCAGACACAGTAGCCATCTTTCAAATACTCATTAGCCACATGTGAGCTCGTGGCTACTTACTGAGCAGAATAGAGACAGAGCACTTCCATCATTAATAAATTTCTGTTGGACAGTACTGACTTAGACTTTTTTTCTGCTTGGAGAGTAAAAGCAGTTAATCACTGTAAACTTTGTTTAGGTGAGTTCAGGAACTGGAAAATTGCTGCTGCCTTTTCCCAGCCTGGAATGAGACGAGGCAGTGGATTTTCCTGGGTTGCTTCTTTGTCATAGTATCATTTGTTAGTTTGTTTCTTACTGTTGTTTTAGAGTACTGGGGATTAAACTCAGGGCCTTATGCATGCTAGGTAAGCACTACCACTCAACTATACCCCGAGCCCTTTAAACAAAATATTTTTGAGATAGAGTCTTGCTAAGTTGCTAAGGCTGGCCTCAAACTGGAGATCCTCCTGCCTCAGCCTTCTGAGTAGTTGGGATGATAGGCAGGACACAGGCATGGCTTCTTTGCTTCTTAAGGGATGTAAATAACCAGTAATGAGACTTGCTTATATATTTAAGCACAAGATAAGTATTCTGAAACAGTATATGGATGGTCTTCAATTTATCATTTATTAAATTATGTGGGCTTTTTTTATTACTTTCTGGGTTTATTGAGGTTTTAAATGCATTTTTGATAGGGTATTTTCAGTTTAAGATGAATTTGTTGGAACACAACCCTGTTGTAAGTTGAAGAGCATAAAATAAGTTATGATCTACCGTTCTTTTCTGTTAGAACTGATTCTTATTATGTGTCCAAGGGTGAGATGAGAACAGGCCAAACTCATGTTAAGATTTTATCATTGTTGGCCTGTTTTCTAATGGCACACATATGTAGGGGTTTTATATATTATATAGACTTTTGTCTTTTTGGGGAGTTTAGCTTCACTTTGGTTTTAATATGTCTATTGGTTTCTAATTCTTGGGAGGTATTTTTAAATCTGGAGATTTGCTATTTTTACCTACCTTGAAATTTACAAGTTAGCAATTTGAAATTTATAAACAGAATTGGGCACAAATCTTCCTTCCCTCACTTCCACACATGACTGCCAGGTTCCAGGTTATTTGTGCTTCTGGTTGTTTGACAGCCAAGAGGTGAAATGGTGTGCAAGTCACGACGTAGATCCACCAGCTATTAGTGCTCACAGGCCTTCCTAATAGGAGACAGAGGAATGACAGTGACCAGAAGGGCTCTGTGCACGTGCGCGTACTCAGCCCTTCATCCCAGCAGTTTGAGTAATTCACAGTGCTTGGGGCTGTGTCATACTGGTATTTGGTGGCAATAACGTCTGCAGTGAAACTGGACCTGAATTTCTGTCCAGACTCAGGCCTGCTTTACAGCCATGTGTGTAGTGTTGAAGAGGTAAAAATTTAAAACCCTAACCTGCCATCCACTTGTCTTCAAAAACCTTAGTTTTTCTTTTTCCTTTTTTGTTCCTTTCTTTTTCTTTCCTTTTCTTCTCTTTCCATGTTCTTTTTTTTTTTTTTTTTAATAGTCTTCCTGAGCACTGGAAAGCCTTAGTCCAGGCAGTTAGCCAGTGTCCACCAGGGAGGGCTGCTGTTGTGCATGGATTCCTTACCTTCTCCTGGCTGACTGAGACACTCTACAGTGACAGGCTCAGAGTGAGCCTCAGAGTGAGTGCTTTTTGTTTGCATCTTCTTATTTTTGTTAAACATTTTTAAAGTACCAGAAGTCAAAACTTCTCTACTAACATTTGTCTAGGTTTGAACAATGAATGGGCTTCCTCATTAATCATACTCTTTTTTGCCTCCAGTAATACAGTAAAACTGTGGTTTGCAGGAGTGATTCATCGGTCTTGTAATCCAAAAACACTTGGATATCAAAGCTGAGAGAGAGTCTGTAATAGCAAATTTTGGGGTGTTGGCATATCCTTCTAGAGGAAGGTTAGGGTTAGGATT